TAAAAGGCAAATATGCTGAGTTCCTCCTTGAATAAATATCGACATAGTAATTTAGTAACCAGAGTTCCATAGTAAAAAGGAGTTCCCTCTCATTCTACTGTTAATTTCTTTCTATCAAGATAGTTTTAAAAGAATATTTTGAAAATTAATCCGACCAGCTCAAGGACAGAAATCAGCTAGCCAAAAAATATGAAATAAAAATGAAGACTGATGAGATGTAAAAGGTTATGTATGCATCTAGAGAGACAAAATGCTCAGGCATCTGCTCAAGACTGAAGAAGCATGGAATTCCTATGCTTCTACACACAGAAAATATTAAGATAAACGTGTGGAGATATTTTTAAAGCTCTTGTCATTTATTAGTATGTTTTATTCCAGCAAATAAGAGAAAAATATAATTTGGTGATGAGGTAATGTTCATTGTGCTTTTATCACCACTTAAAAGAAAATGAAAAAATATTTTATAATAAATGCTTTGAAATATTTTATAATAAATGCTGAAACTAGCACAAACTAGAATAGCATAATTATCCTGGAAGGAGGAAAAAGCAGAAAGTCCACACAGACTGAACATGAGACTGATAAGTGAATTGAGCCCTTTAAAATGATAACTCATGATTCCATATTAGCGATTAAGGCTGTGAACTCAGTTTAAGCATATTTATACAACAGGTTCACTTCAGAGAGCTTGGTATATAAAATTTCATTTAGTGGAGCATTTCATCCAGGGTAGTTTATTTGCTTCATAGCTAATCCATAAAGGTGAAACATGATGTGTCTCTCTTTCAGGAATTAAGACAGGTCACTTAAGAGTAAACTTCACTGCGACACAGACATGATCACAGCAAAAAAGACCTGACGAAACAGAGGAATACTTAGATGTTCAGGGAATCATTTGAAAATCAGGTAGAAAGTAATAGGCTACAAATATTTAGCTAGAATGTCCTTCAGTCAGGGTTTTCAGAAAAGATTCAAAAGACGTAGATGTGTAAAATCATACATCATTGACTCCAAAAATCAGGGTACAACATATGCCAACTGAAGATTATTTGTTTGCCTTTGGAAGTCATTGTTTGGAAGACCAAATAATTAAATCAAACATATATAGCTTTTTTTAAATGTATGAAACTTGTTTTCTTCATCATACCTATGCAGAATGGGCAGTACTATCAGTTACCAATGCACCAGACTTTGCAAAGACCAGGAATAGGAAACAGCTGTGTAGTATGTACTGGTTAAGAGAAAAGAAAAAAAAAGAAAAGTATATAGTATACATATGTCTATGAAGTTGTCATCTAGTTTTGATGAAATAAGCTCATTTCTTGTGAAATGGAACAACTCATCACCATAAAACAAATATGAATAGGAAATACTAATCAACATTTTTCATTATACAGATCAGAAGATGTTGTGTACATGATAGAACTCCAAAAAGGACTTAGTGCGCTTTACCCCAGTCCTAGTTTTCCTTCTAATCATACACTAACTGTGAATTTAACTGGGATCTCTAATCAAAGAAATGAAAAGCAAACGTAGGGGCAAAAAAAAGATACTGGAATAGAAATTCAACAAGAAGTCAGATGACGCAAGGCACTGCTACAGTGACACAAAGACATTGCTATCTAGCATCAGAAACAGGTCTGTTAATGTTGCCAGAAGAAAGATAATGCCACTTCACTTTTGTAATTCCCAGAAATGAACTTAGTGCCAGGGAGACCAGGTTTATCAGTCACCAGACTGATCACAAACAGAAGAACTTTTAGAGACTGACCAGCATAATTATTTACACTCAGTAATCACAACACAAAATGAAGAAATTTTCATACACGTGGAGCAATCATAGCCATGATTCCCAATTGGGAATGACAATTAAACACCATATACCACGTAGTTAATCCCATTCAGAATGCAAGATCCATAATTTCCACATAGATGAGTGAGAGAAGCCTCCTAGCTAACAAACATATCTCTCTCCTAGCTCTTTATCTCAATGAATATGTAACGATTACAGCTCTTTACATTCAGTTCTCAAAGTGAAAGGAAAAAGCAATGCTCTACAAGACAAAGGAAAAGACTAATATAGAAGTATATATATTTTTTTTCCTTTTACACCTACACTTACTTGGTGAAAGCCTTTCAGCAATTCTCTCTCAAAGATTCTTGAACCTCTTAATAATTTTCATCTTTCCCTAAATAGGCTCATACCACTAACTATTAGGTGATCTCCAAGTACCAAAACAGAATTGTGCTTTCTACTTTCAGTGTACCAAGCTCTTACATTCTGGAACTGTTTGAAAGACATATTAAAACAATAAAACCATGGTGTGCTCACAAAACATTTGACACAAAAAAGAGAGATGTAAGTCCAACAGTAAGAGTTCTATACTGAATACTCCGATGAAATGTAATTACAGAACATCATACCATAAAAGACATACTAAATACTGCTCCGAACATAGATAAAACTTATTAAGAAACACATAATTATTATGAAACACTGGTAGTTAAACATTCGTTATGACAGAACTGTTATGAAGTAAAAATGTTCTTTATAAGACCATCTAGATGAAATCTATTAATTTAGTTGCATACAGTCCAACAGTTCCACAAAATCAGGACTGAAAAGTACATCAATTGTGTAACACTAAAATTATAATCTATACTGAAAATACATACACAACACTAAGCTGCAAAATGCTCTTCAATATCACACTTCAGGTAACATTATCTCTCTTTACACGACAGACACATTTTGAAAATTGAATCACCGGCAGGCTCTTTAACTTTTGAATTCTTCCTTTTCTGTCGTTATTATTCAACAAGAGATTAAGTTCTTAACTCAAATTTTTTTCCCCTATTTTAACTATGGTATTAGAAAATGCTATTCCATATTAGAAGTTGCTCTTCACTATAAAATAAATAAATAAATAAATAAATAAAATCTGTAAGAGATCTTACAAAATCCAAAATCTTTTATTTCTAAATATGTGCTATGACTATTTGAACATGCAGGATAAGTTATTGAAAATCTGAGGGCTGATATAAACTTTGGCGTAAAAAAAGGTTTTTATACAATTTTATACAAAAATAGACTTCTCTGCTCAGTATAAAACCTATTTGGTAAGGCTTTACTATAAAAACAATGATTCCAAGTATGTAAGGATTCTATAGCGCTAGTCACAAAAACAGATACGTGAAAAAAAGTTCAGCAGTAATGGCATACTATGTGGTGTTTCTGTTTGAAAATAAGCATTCTTTCCAATTGCATTAGTGAGATCAGGTGACTGAATGACTTAATTAAAAAAGGTTTCAAGAAAAGTGCATCCTTCCTACAGAACGTAACAAGATATTTTTTTTTAGCATGAGCAAGAACTTAGCCATAAAATTCCTACTGACTGCTGCATGACAAAAACACTGTGCATCATGCTGAGAATGTTCTATAGTGATAAAAGTAGGGTTAAAACTTTTGGACATACTCATCAATATCTTGCACGAGATGTTTCATGACATAATATCTGTGATTTATGCTAAACAGTAAATTCTCTGCTTTCAGATTTATGTGTATTACAGAAACACCTCAGAAATGAGTTTACAGTTTGGTTATACAGTCCACTAATATCTATTCTTCTTTCAAAGGCTCATTAAAGCAGACTTTTAAGGAAAGTACAGAAAGCTAATCATCACAGAATCTGTTTCAGTGTTATCTATGTTGCTGCAATATCTCATGCACTTCATATACAAGTGATCTTGCTAAATTACTGATAAAATGGCTCTTAGAAATCTGGAATGAAGCATATAGCATCAAGGAAAGATGGAGAACCCTTATATCAACCACAGCACAACAGAGACAGGAAAATATGAAGAGAAATATTGTGTATCAAACAATGAAATCTTGAGGTTGAAGTGAAATTACGTTATTTGTAACATTTGCTCCTAAAAATCATTGTTACAGAAAAAAAAAAAAAAAAAAAAAAAAAAAAAAAAAAAAAAAAAAAAAAAAAAAAAAAAAAAAAAAAAAAGAAGAAGAAGAAGAAGAAAAAGAAGAAAAAAGAAATTTCTTACTAATGGGAAGATTGGGATAAAAGCCAGCATAGTTTATATTCATTTGATTTTAAAAACTATTTAAAAGTGACTTCTGGGAGGAATCTGCAAAAAAATATTACTTTTACACCCCCAGGAACTTCTGATTGATTGTTCTGAATATTTTTTTTTCCTGTCACAGCAAGACTCAAAGTTATGACATATAACTTTACATTTCTGTGAGCATCTGAAGTCAGTTTCAATGAAAATGTAAATATAATGAGAATTTTTGACAATGAGAGATGTCTTCCTGCTTATATATATTGAAGTAAACAGATAAAAAGTTGTTAAAAGGCAAGAAAGCCCAGTATGGCTTTTTAAAAATAACTTTATAATTTAGCAATTGTCCTTAACTCTGGAAACCTGCTTCCAAACATATTCCAATCTCGGACTCTAAATCATATATAATGTTTATCTAGCTTACAGTTAAAAACTAATTCTGCTACCCTACTTCTAAGACACTAATCTATACCGATTAATTTTTTTTGTTTTTTTAACATGTGGTGGTCTAATTCGGACATCAAGGATTGACATGGGCAGCTAAGTACTGAATTTGAGATTAAACAAGATAGCAACAAACAAAATTATACTAACAAAATAAAATGTGTTGGTCCCTTTCTTTCTAAACACAGCACAAATGAGAAAAGACATTACATAAACTTGCTAATGTCTTTGAATTTGTAAATAAAAGATACAACCTAACTAGCATCCTCAATACTTGGTGGTATAACAAACTGGACACTTAGAATGGCAGTGCAGAAAATTAATAGTGAGAACCCTCATCATTAATTATTTTTCTGTACATCACAAAGTTAAAATATAAGAGTATGAAAGTAAAAAAGTTTTGTGACTTTTGACAATTATTAGTAAGAAAAAGATTATAACAATTGCCAAAAAAATCACAAAAGTTGACATGTTACCTGGCTATGACAAAGAGCACACAACTGACACCCAAGTAAGCCAGCAGAATATACATCCAGATATCAGGGGAGAGAGGATTCAGGAAGGAGAAGACGCCCGGGTTTGTACCATTGGGCTTGCGGTACAAAATACTTATTCCAAGAGTCATAAACGGCTTGGAAAAGTCGATGACTTTCTCACGAACATAGGTAATTGCCAACGGTGCAACTGCAAGGTCAGCTTTCTGTTGACAGAAATACAAAAAGAGAAACAGGACATAAGTCAGAAGAAACAGGTTGAAGTAGAAATTCAGATTGCAGAAAGTTCATCAAAGAGGTTTGTTCTTGCACTAGTAAGGCTGAAATTTAAAACATTACTATACATATTAGTAGGAATGCAGATTTATTCTGCATCTTTTTGAACTTCTCAAAATGTACATATAAAGATATGTCTTTATCACTTTTTTGCTGTGCTCTTTAGAAGCTGATGTAATTGAGACAGAGTTGTGAATATGCTTGTGCAAATGGAGGACAAGGAAGATTTGTTTTGTTTATTTTAATGTAAAAATAACAGTACAAAATGAAGAGTATTTTAAAATGAGAAGCTCTACAACTGAAAAGTTTTTACATGTATGTAAATTCATCATTAGTATGTAGTTTTTTGCTCACCTGGTATCATACATGCTATTTAACACTCTCAATTCCACACGTTAAGGTATTTCAATGTTGCCTTTTGTTATTGCCTACTATAGTTCAGTGTCCTAATGAGCACCTATCACATCATTAGATCTACTAGAGTAATACACTACTGTATGAAAATGTGGAACTGTTGGCTCTATTCATTTAATTTAGTCACGTTTCAGTGGTCAAAAACACCACATGCACTTCATTTTCATTGGTATTCAGAACTTGCAGGTACAAAGCAGACTTGCAAGGCTTCATTTCACAGCAGCTGAGTTTTTATGGCTTGCATATTACTGATGATATTCTAAACGATGCAGAAAGAAAACAGGAAAGTGCGAACATAAAACTAATTTTGATTAAAAGTTATAGAGCAACACAAAGAAGTTTGAGAAACACAAATAAAATTATTAGACTGACAGAAAAGTATCAGAGTCTGAAGCCAAGTCATCAGAGATTGTCAGAAGATATAGGCACCCAAAGAAAGAGAAAATACTGCTATTTGCAGTTCTGGATTTCGGTCATAAAATGTGAACTGAGCCTTTACAAATAACAAATAGTTTCTTTTAGGAAATACTGCTGGAAATTCAGCCCTTGACCATCAAAGCTGTATACGTGTAAATGTAAGTTGTTGCAAGTATCTCCAGTGGAAAAAAAAGCTCTAAGGAAACTGCGGATGCAATAAGAAATATAGCATTAGAATAAATGATGTATTTTTTATAAGACAGAACAAGGCAACCAGATTCTCCAATCTAGGAGGCATAGACCCAAAATACAGATCCCTGCTATCTTGGAATTATCTTCAGAATTCAGAATGATCAATGTAGGCTGCAATAGGGACAGATGTGGGAGTGGGGAGACCTTTCTACCAGATTATATGTCCAGATATTGGTCTCTCTATAATAAAAGATTATAATCTTTTTTTTTTAATATGCTTAGTCATCCTATCATCATTTCACACAGTTTGTCCTGTATTGTCTTAACAATTCCACAACAGAAAAAAATTGCAAGGAAACAGGTAACATTGCTTTTGCCTGGTGCTATAGTACACTCTATGGTATAAAGAAAATATTTGTATATATCAGTTATCTGGTTAAACTCTAACTCCTTAAATTAATTGTAAATATTAGCTAAGAGTAATTCCTAAGTTTTGTTTAAGAAAGTACAGTATGGATGCAGCATATGACAAGCTATTTTCAGATAATGGCAGAGTAATTTATGTTGAAACAGACCTTTGGAGTTCACCTAATCCAACTTCCTGTTCAGAGCAAGACCATTTTAGAAGCTCAAACAATTAACGTAATTTTCTGATACTGCAGAAAACACCATGTAAGAGTGATTCTTATACTTTCTCACTGCAATTGGTACAAATAAAAAGCACCAGATGGAGGCAATATATTCAATGTCAAAAGGAGTAAAAGAAAATGGAAATAATCCTCTTTCTTTCAAAGTATCTACATGATTGTGGTATTTATGAAGACAGAATTCATAATTTCAGATAAAATACAAACAAAATGTAAGAAAAACAGAAGAAAATGCATTCATCCTCATACTACTCCACACACAGCAAGTTAGGTTCAAAGAATGATCTGTAAATTCAAGATAAAAATCATTTTCATTATGGCAGTCTGACTTCTGCATAGAACTTGTAACTTCAGATCTAATAACAGATCTAATAACACCGGTTCCACTGTCCAAATGGATAACAATGTGGTACGCTTTCTAAAGTCAAACAGATAGTAAAAATATGCTAACAAGTAGATTGATTTTGCAAAATATGTGTATTGTTTCATGCCCAGTGTTAGCATTTTCAGATTTAGTTTACTAGTGACTGTAAATGACATATCTCTTCCTGACTTATGGCAAAACTGTAGCTACCTAAACATTACACAAAATGCAACATACAACAGGAATGACTGACATAAAAAGTATAATATTACAAAATTTAATCATTTTGCTTATCAGGCATATTTTATCTCCAAAATACTCAATTATCTTGGCACATATTTCAATCATAACTGAATGTAAGAGAAATAAGGAGTATAGTTTCCAGAAGAGCATTATCAGGGTCTCCTACAGTCTTCTACAATAGAGATATACAAATAAGAGAATTATATTAGTTAATTTCTCAGGTTGAATTGGGGATGAATGTTGTAAAATTAGAATTTTATCCGTCTAAAGGAAGACGAACAAATGGATACATCTTAAAATGGTTTTCCATAAGTTCCGTAACAAAGAATACTTCACTCACTTGATAACAGAACCATGTATGACTATGTCTTAGAGCAAAAAAAGCTTTATCTATCTGAAAGCATAATCATAAATAGCACTTATTCGTGACCTTAGAGTACTTGAGATAAAGGTCTTTTTATAATAGCACCTTAAGACTGATGAAGATAAGCTAGTTTTTATAGGAGTGAAATTTTGCACCAAATAAAAGTTACAATAGCAATTAGAAGCTAGTAGGTCTGACAAGGGCCTTCCAACACAAAATGCAGTCCTTTGCAAAAAAGAATAGCTGTAACAACACAGAGTAACCATATCATGCAATGAAGTTACACACGGCAGGCAATAATACCACAGTACGTGGCAGGGACTGGAGGAAAATGCTACTCAGTGAATTCTTACTTTAAGTATATCAAGCATGAGGAAATCAATCCTATATTCATTTCATCATTCAAAGATATGACACGATAAACTCGAAAATAGCACTCATATTCTGTGTGTATCTGAGTAATGCATCGAGCACAGAGGGATGTGCTCAAACAAGGAAGAGAATGTCCAGGAGGACAAAAAAACAGAATTTATCATCTTTTATAGGAAAATATTCATTAAGTTAAACCACTGACTGCTATTTCTATCCTGCTTTATCAAAGTGCATCCAAGATTTAGAATACCATTTTTAATAGTTTATTTTTAATAGCACTTTATCTTCAGTCTTTGTTCTTCATCTTAAAGGATGATATTTTCTTCTTTCATACTACTATAAGCACTCAGTGCGGTCTACTTTCTACATTACTGTAGGAATTTATAAGAAAGAAGGATTGCTAGGTTCTGTTTGTGTTACATTAGAATTCTTCATACTCTGTTTACTTCTCCACTGTGGAAAGGTTTCCCTGTCTTAACTACTATAGCAACTATTTATAAACTATAATAATAATAATAAGTATTAATAAGAACAAAAATTAATTTAGAGAACTCTATAGAATATGAAATAGAAGTGTTTTTGTACTACATATCATAGAATATTATACAATGTTTTATATATACTTTAATTATACATAATGGCTAATATAATATCAGTCCTATTATCCAAATGCATTGGCAGAAATTTATGGGGAAAAAAAACTTGAAAGTTCTAACATTGTATGTACTAGATCTTAATTTAGCTCTGCTCTGCCTAGCGTATATGTAAGCTAACTCATTTGAAAAATGTGTAACAGTTAATTAAATTCAGTAAAGCTTATCTAATAGAATTACAGAATGGCTTGGGATGGAATGGACCTTAAAGATCATTTACTTCCAACCATTCTGTGCTGGAAGGTGTAGGGACATCATTCACTAGATCAGGATGCCCAGGGCCTCACCCAACCCAGCCCAGAACACTCCTAGGCATGAAGCATCCACAACTTCTCAGGGCAGCCTGGGCCAGTGCCTCACCACCCTCCATCCTGATTTCTTCTGACTATCTAATCTAAATCTACCCCTTTTCTGTTTAAAACTGTTACACCTTGTCCTATCACTACATACTATGGTAAAGACTCTTCCCCTATTCTCCTTCATCATCACAGCACCATAAAATTGTTTGAATTTTAAGGGACCTTTAAAGATCTAGTCCAACTCCCCTGAAATGAAAAGGGAGATTTACTGCTCAGAACCTGGAAGACTGCAGTAAGGTCTCTCTGGAGACCCTCTTTATACCAAACAAACCCAAATCTCTCAGACTGTCTCCATAGCAGAGATGCTCCAGCCATCTGATCATCTCTGTGGCCCTCCTTTGGATCCACTTCAACAGTCCCAAATCTTTCTTGTACTTCAGAACCCAGTCCCGCAGGTGAAATCTAATGAGGGAGGAGCACAGGAAGGGAGGTAATCACCTCCCTCATTCTGTTGTGGTCATACTTCTTTTAATGCAGCCAAGGATTTGGTTGGCTTTCTGGGCTGCAAGTATATCTTGCTAGGTCATGCAGAACTCTTGATCCATCACCCAGTTTGTACTGATGTGTGGAATTGCCCTAGTCAAGATGCAGGATTTACACTTGGGCTTGCTGAACATCACATCATAAGTTTTCCATGTACCTACCTCTCAAGCCTGTCAAAATCTGTCTGGATGGCATCCTTTTCCTCCAGAGTACCAACTGCACCTCTTAGCCTGGTGTCATGTGCAGACTTGTTGAGGGCGCGTTCAATTCCAACATCCATGTTGAGGATACTTGTGTAAACTTATTAACAATCAGCTTTAATAAGAATGAAGTGATGGGTTTTCCCATACCACACTTTGCAGATCCTGTCAGAAGGAACCATTCCTGCTTACCACGCCACAGTAGCCTTTTCTGGGACTTGC